ATCACACTATATAGTCCTATGGAAAGTGCCCTATATCACACGCGTATGAATAAGAATTTACTTTCCACCCGAGTGAGAATATGTTACTTTCCGCAGTAGTTGTCACAAAATGTCAAACACCTAATTTCTATTTTGATCTATGTAATGTCCATATTAATACTAAAATCGATATGATTGTTAAATTATTGAAATCGTTGTAAATTAGATCCTAGATATTTATCTTTAACAATTATTATTAAAATAATTTAAAAATAATGTTTGCTCTTTATTCTGGTTAAATACATAACCCATTAGATCATTCAATTGACACAAAGGCTATTAGCTCAGGTGGTTAGGACGTCGAACTTATCAACTTTGCCATTTTTCGACCGCGTTCGAATCCTGGCGGGGCAGTTTTTTTTTTGTTTTTTTTATTTTTATTTAGAAAATATGAAAATTGAATAAATACGATTATTGTTGATTATTTTTTTAAATACATTTTAATTATTATAGTAATAATAACCTTGGTTTTACATTTTTTTGAAGACAATATTTTGTGGTCGTAGGAAAAATATTGTACATCACTTGTGTGAAAAGTGATTTTCCACACTCGTGTGATAGTCACACTCGGCTTGCGCCTCGTGTGACAATATTTCCCACTCGTGTGAAAAATGTAACTTTCCACACTCGTAATGTAATATACTATACTCACACTAACAAAAAATTATTAATCAAATTAATGTACTAACTGAATAAAAAAGCCGAAAATGAGTAAAGGGCGAAAAAAAAAAATGAAAAAGTTGTTAATGAATGTTGAAAAATATATTTTGGAGCAAACCATCAACAACAAAATGGTATAAGATAAAAAAATGACTATAAAATATAATAAAAAAAACGCAAAACTCATCATAATCTCTTATCCACTAGCGATAAAACTATTGGATTACAATCTTGAAGGAATGGAGGCGAACTGAACACTTAATATTTTTTATAAAAGCATTGGTATTTGTCGGGGGTTAAAAACATGTTAAAATAACGATACTAAAATATTAATTAGCCTACATTACCAAGTCAAAAAACAAAAAATGCCAAAGTTTTTAATGTTTACAAAAGCAAAATGGATACTGGCAATGAATATTGAAAAGGTTTGAAGAATTTGAATTTGAAAAAATTAATTTTTAATTTATGTAGGTGCTGACCTCCAGTAGGGAGTGGCAAAACTAATAGTTAATGAATTTAAAAACATTGTTTATAATAAGTAACGAAAAATCTTCACAAAAAGTTTTTTAAAAAATGGAAATATGACTAAAAAACGAAAATATCAAAAACTTTAAAAAATGTAAAGACATGAGACGAAAAATTTGACAAAAACATTTAATAGTTTTAGTATAAAAATAATATTAATTTAAAAATTTTTAAAAATGGCTTGCCCAATAATTGTGGTAACACGTGAAAGATATTGGTTCGTTAGTTTCAAATTAAAAAGTTGTGTATTCTTTTTAACAAAAGCTTTATGATGTCAACAAAAAATTGTGATTTAAATATGATTTTTTTTAGGAAACTTTGACAAAAGGATATACTTTAGGATATTTCCTTTCTAAAAATAAAATACCTATGATTAGAAAAAACACCATGTTAGATATGTGTATATATGAATTTCCAATCTTGTCCTAGTTAAAAAGTGAATAAATTTTTAATATAAAATATGTTATCCCTTAATTTTTCGAAGGCATTACACCAGTTTTCCAAAGCCGTATCACCCTGACACTCATGCGTTCGTGACTAGCCCAGTAACTACCAACTTGTCGAGATAACGGCAGTTGAAACGTACCCCACGGGGGCGGGCTAACTTATGACGCTTCATCTTTGAACCGGACAACGAATTTCATATTTTATAACGTTACTGTACGGACCCTAATTTCACTTTTGTCTCATGAATGCAAACAATGTTTATCTGGAAAATGTAAAAATTCACAGAGGTTGATGATATGTTTGTTTTTAATAATGTATGCAAAATAGAACCAAATGCAATAGGATGTGATAGTCCTTTTATGGTACTATATAAGTATTTTTAACTTTTATTTATGGAAAAGCCTATTTACTACTATTTAGAAACAAATATAGTGGAAGTTTTTTCAAAAAAACTGAACTCTGCTTAATTTATCTGAGAGGTATAACTATTTTATCAACGCCTCCTAAAATTTTAAAACAAGCTATTGAGGTACAAAAAAAAGAAACACTTTACAAAATTATTTTTGTGACTATCAGTTCAATCTGAGCTTCCAAAAAGACACAGTACTTCATATTGTAGATGATTTAATCATCTCAATAAACAAAGAGTTCCAAATATTTGACAATTAAGACTCTTACGTTTCGCTGTACACTTCAAGTACATTTGATAAATGTTAAATTCATTTTTATGCTGACGCACACATCTATTTCAGTTTCTTTCCTAATTTATCAGAAAAAGCTTTTGCATTAATGAATGAAGAGCCAAATATTTTATGGGGCATTATTGTTTAATGACCAATCCTACAAAGTATAATTTAATGCTAATTCAAGTCATAAATGCCCCTAAATGCTTAAATTAATAATAAAGATTCAGCTAATGAAACTAAAAATGTTGTAGTCATTATTGACTTTGACCTAAGATTCGTATTTAACACTTATAGTGATAGATGTAAATATTATGTCTATAAGTAGTGTAATTTTTGACATTTCAGTACAAACATTTCTAAACATTTAAAGGAAATCCATTAATTCTCGTTTTAATAGAATTCTATATAGTTTAGACAATCTTGTACTTCAATACTTTGTGTGAGTGTGTTGGGTGGGGGCTGGCATCGGATTCGAAGTCCATTTGCCACAGATTGTTTGTGGTATTATTACAATATATTATATAACTATTTTGGTTTTATATATAAATTGTACTAATAGGTCATATATGTTCTTGTCAAAACTATTAAGAAGAGTGGTAATATTAAATGGGGGGAATATATTAAAGTTTTTTAGCTCAGATATTAATTGTATTATAGCATTATTATTATTGGAACAGTGGTAGAACAGGTGGTTCAAGTCTGCAATACTTGAATTGTCGCAAGGACAGTAGGGATTCTCTAAAATTCCTATTTTGTTCAGATGATGAGGAAAACGTCCGTGATTTAGTTTAAGTCGCGTTATAATGGTAGAATATGTTCTAGAAGTAGAGAAATAGAGGTTTGGAATATCTTTTGGGAGGGTAGGATGTATTAAAAAGTAATGGTTTTTTGATCTGCTAACAAACTCATTATATAAAGCCGACCATTTGTCCCTAATGTCCTTCTTTAGTTTACACAAGATATCATTATTATTAGTAGGAGATTTTGTGATATTTTCAATACTACATGCTTGTTTGGCAGCCTCATCTACTATTTCATTTTCTACAATACCTGAGTGGCCTTTAACCCAAATGAACTGTATTTTTATGTTTTTTATTTTGGCATCTTTAATTAGTTCTTTAATTCTAAATATGATTTCATTGTTATAATATTTCAATGGGCATCCTTGTAGAGCTTGTAGTACCGATTTAGAGTCAGATAATATTATAGCTTTCTGAATTGAATTGTTTTTAACCCATTCTAGTGCTTTTTGTACTGCTAAAGCTTCGGCCGTAAATATTGAAGATATGTCTGAAATACGATATTTTTCAATATGATTTGTGGTTGAAACAAAAATTCCGAAACCAGTTCCGATTTTACTTTTGGATCCATCTGTGTATATATTTACATCATAGTCTATGAATCTATTTAATATTCCTTTCAAGATGGCATTATTCAAAGAGGGTATTTCGGAGTATGTAGGAAATATGATGTCGGGTTTAACAATTATTGTTTTAAATGTATAAAGAAATATCGGGTATTGTTCGTATTTAGTTATATGATTTTCGAGATTACTGGTATCAACAAAGGCTTCAGCTAGAGGTGGCGCGTTTTTTTTCTTCCAATATCTATTTGTAAGGTTTTCTATAGCAATAGTTGAGATTTGATTTGTTATGAACGTATTATATGATCTATATTTGACTACTGCTTTATTCGCCAAGTATTGTCTGCGAAATGCTAACGGAGGTTCTTGTGACTCAGCTAGAATTGCATGATTCGGTGATGACTTCATTGCACCTAAGCATATTTTTAAGGCCTTGTATTGTATGCGATCCAATACTAACAAGTTAGTATTGGATGCGGATCCGTATAATGTGCACCCATAATCGATAAGAGAACGAATGTAGGACCTATAGAACATAATGGATAAGTTAGGATCAGCTCCATATGTTTGCTTGCATACAACCTTTAGAAGATTTATACCTTTCTCACATTTTGATCTTAAGTATTGTATATGTTTGGTCCATAATAGTTTTTTGTCTAAGAAAATACCTAAATATTTGTAATGTTCGACAACAGAGATAGTATATTCACCAATAGTAATATTATCTGGAAATCTCCTTCTGTGTCTTGAAAAGCACATAATGGCAGATTTCTCTGGTGACATACTAAAACCTAATTCGAATAACCAACTTTTAAGGCAATATAGTATATATCGCAAATCTCTGTAGCATTCTTCATATGTTTTATGGGAGACATATAAGCAGATATCATCGGCGTATTGGAAAATATTAATATTGTCATCAAATAAACCATGCAATTCGGCTGTGTATATGTTGAAAAGTAACGGACTTAAAATAGAGCCTTGTGCGAGACCATTATAGACTAAACGTGGATCATGTAATATGTTATTATGATCTCTGAGATATAATTTTCGATTCTGAAACAAGTTTAAAATATTAACTGAAACCTTTTTGTTTATACCAATATTAAGCATTTTTGTGTAAAGTATGTTTAAATCTACAACATCATAGGCTCCTTTTAAATCTATAAAAAGATACATTAAGTGTTCGTTTTTAGCAAAACACCTTTGTGTATCTGTCACTAAATGAGACTTCAATACTTTAAATATTAAAAAAAAAAAACTATATTAATATAACTTACCAGTAATGGGAGCGTAGATATTTAGATATAGGCAGTCTTCACTTTGATTGTTCAAATACTCTTTGAGTCTAAGAAAGTGCTCCCTTCTGAAAGTTGGCATCTTCTTTTCATCGGGAAACTTTTGTGGACAAACCGGTCCAAATGTATCTGCATATTTAACGCCAAACCAAGACGGAGCACCAACAGTCGGCATAAACCGTAAATCTCCAACCGGTGGAGCCGCGTAGGGAATTCCCCTGTACACTCCGACACGATAATGTTCACCACGACCGAGTTTGGGTTCCACTAGCACACCTTGCAACACGCCTTGTTTTAAACTTATGTTTCTAGTATATTCTTTGACATACGGATTGTAACTGTAGTCGTAAGCGTTTGGTAAAATGTAACCGACACATGTTAGTAACGTTACAATAACGGTAAGTGTGTTTGTTATGTATGCCATTTTTGATCTAAAAGTTCTGAGATCTTGTATTTAGGTAGCTTCTAGCGCCCATTTGGAATCTGAAATAAGAAAGATGTTGATTAGAAAAAAATGTTGATCTATGTCTGAATATTTCGTTTAGATGCTTAGATGTGTATGAGATATGCGTCCTACTACTAGACCAATTTTATTTACAAAAACTAATTGAAAGCATTCTCGGTAATATCTTCCTAGTGACCAAATTATTATGGAGAATCTATAGGGTGTCCAAATTTTACATTTTGATTTAAATTGTTAAACTGTTAAATTTATTGAGAGTTTTATGAAGCAGTTTTAATAGCAGAACATGTGGTGAAAAAAATCCAAGAGCAATATTAGAGAAACGACTGTATCCAGTAAATGTGACTGTGACTATGGTTTTTAGTCTAGTGGTGTTATTGGTCCTTATTTTTCCCAGAATGAAGCTGGTGATTCGATAACTGGGAATGGACCACAATACAGGACAATGATTACGAGATTATTTGTGAAGCGAGTTGGAAGATATGGATGCCCAGAACATGTGGTTGCAGCAAGACGGTGCCACTTGCCACACTTCGGGTAAAACACTAAATCTTTTCATTCGAATAATTTCTCGAAGAGCAGAGCCTAGGTCGTGAGACCTTACATCATTAAATTATTTCTTGTGGGGCTTTTTAAAGGGAAAAGTTTTTGATAATAACCCTCAAACACCTAAACAGCTTCGAGTTAAAATTATTAAAAATTGAACAGAATGTTTGCAAAAATGTTCTTCAAAATCTTGTAAAAGGAATGTTAGCATGCTAAAGAAGCAGAGTGATCACATTCTGGATATCATTTGTCATTACAGTTCATCAAATTTCTAGAAGCTTTCGACAGCTAGACAGAGAAAGCACTACTGACAGGCATCCCGACGGATTTACGCAATGAAAGTACACTCTGCGCATCAAATATTTCACTATTTCATTCAGACGTAAATGTCAGATGTAAATTTCGCTAAAACATTTCTTTTATTTTCGTTTGTGTTTTTTGCCCATTACAGTTTAATAGAACCTAAGTATGGAGTTTAATAGCAAATTAAGAGGCCGCGTGATTAACAGTCAATCTCGCGAACAAATAGCCAATGTTATAGAGTTTATGAGAAGAGAAGAAAACTTTAATTCACCTTCAATACCATTTAAAAATGTAAATGATCGTGTTGCTGCAGCCACAGGAGTATCTAAAAACACTGTAGTCCGCATTTCTGGAGAGAAAAAAAGAATCGATAACCGTGAGATATCGGAATTTTCATCACCAAGAAAAACCATTAAAAAACCAAAAACAGTTAATGATATAGATGAAGCTGCACAAGAATCAAATTTAATTTTTTTATTATTAGATAGCTATTTTTGTTTCTGAGTTGTGTTCATTTACATGCTCAATTTTTTTCCGTTTCTCCTTTTTGATTTTATATGGGGTTTCAAGTTGTTTTTGACTTATTTCGACGTAAATCACAACAACACACTTTTTTAATAAAGCAAACAAGTGTTAAGAGGTATATGTACGTGTAAACTACAATTACAAAAAATTGATATGAAACCCATGAAACCACCAACAAAAATGTGAAGCTAGCTTCCGTACTAGAACATGGTGTCATTCGTCGAGATAATTTATCGTTTTGTTTAATAGATCAAGAAATGTAAATATTCCCCTGTTATTTTTTATAAAATTATAAGAGAAATAAATTTTTTTCTAAATAGTTTATTATTTTGTAGAAAAACAAAATTTCGAAAATTTTAGTAATGTTTCCGAAACAACCGTTATTAATAATAGGTACCATTTTCCTAAATAAGGTAGAAATAAAATATAAACTATTTCCACGATTTACAAAGGCCTACAAAAAAATTATAGGTATTTTCCGCTATCCTATAAAATTTATATTTTCTGACTCAATTTCAAAAGGTTGAAGGAATTCCAAAACACCTTTTATGGCATAATAATTATTTTCAATTCTACATACTATCTTTAGCTGCTTTTAAAAACGTTCTAAGAAAGTCCAATCAGACCAATTTAATCCCTAAACTATTCCACACTTTTAAAATTTAATTACCTAAAAATATTAAAAACTATTTAAAATAACTTGTTTAGCAGACTGTACAATAGCTATCTTAGTCACACGTAGCGCGTTCTCTGTCTGGGCGTCGAACACCTCTAGAAATTTGATGAACTGTATTAACCGTAACGTTTAAACTTTAAAATATTCTAATAATATATTATTTGAAGGACATTTTGTGTTTTATTATTAAATTAAATCCGAAGGTCAAATTTGGACACCCTTTATATACATATACAAGAATCGTTTATGGTTTTATTTCAAAGCACACAAAAGACTTTCAAAATTATATTAGCGAGTGTATTTGCATTTCTTATGTCATTTTATTTTTTTAGTTAAATGATATTTTATAATTGAAACTCTCATTGTAGCTAAAGGTGATTTACAGGAAAGTACACCATTTATTTTGCAGTGTGACAACGGTGTAAAGCAGGCATAATTATAACCTAACAAAAATAAGAATTTGTTTTCATCATATCGCACAATATTACTGATATCCTGCATAAGTAAAGCCTTTGAACATTCAATTAAAACCAGATTATAATGGTTCCTGGAACAAAAACAAATTCTTCCTGAATTAAAATTTGGATTTCGGATAGGATTTGGTACCTTGGATGTAGTATCTAAATTAATAACAGATATCCAACGAACTACTCAAGAAATAAATATTTAGTTTGTTTATTCCTTGATCTTAAAGCCGCTTTTGACTCTTAACTTTCTTAAACAAAAAAATTATTAAATTTGGCTTAAGTGAAAGAATCTGTAAGAATAATATTAACCCCTATTTTGGAAGAGTAATTTATATAGGAGACCACAAAAATATACTCCATGGGCTCCACCGTCTATCAAGATTTACAACAAGGTTTGGTCGTTAGTCCTACACTTTTTAATACACAGTGTGAGTCGGGAGGAGCGCACGAAACTCTAGGAGTATATTATACACGTAAAAATAATGTAAAAAACTCATATGTTCTTATCCGATTCTTATTTGTTTTCAAGTTATGGCGTAATTAAAAATGTTCATCTAGATTTCCACTTCTAAAGAGAGCCAATTAGAAATAAGGGTAAAAAAAACGCGAGACTAAAGAAAGCTGACTTTCCTTTTCTTTTTTGTTCAGACGAACAAGAAAAAATTAAAAATCAAATTTAAAAAAGCCGGCAATCGCGGTAATCATTACAAGTGTTTGCAATTTCATTTTGCTTAAAAGTTAAACTATGTAACTCTTTATCAATAATCCTATGTAAAAATAAAAGTTTGTAAATGTATTAAAATACGTGAACGTATCAATCAGTAAATATACCAAAATTAAATGTAGGGTGATGGTTTTATTTTTAATACACCCAGTGCTTCAACTAGAACTTCAAGGGTCAACATGATCAGAATATCTTCCAGAGGCTACAGGGTGGAGCATAAGGCCTTCACCCCAGGTAATCTAATTTGAATACAGTCCACTATGATCGAAGGCAGTATACGTCAAGCCTACAGCTTAAATAAGGCTAGGGTTTAACAGTCTTTAATAAAGTTCTTTACACAGCACAGATTGTACAAGTAAGAACACGTAACCCAGAATGAGTGCATCTTGCCGGTGGTAAAAGAATATAAATACTTCGGAATCGTTCTTGATTCTAAATTATTATGGAAGAAACATATTAAGTATATTAAAGGTAGATCTGAGAAAGGTATCAATACTTTAAAATATGTTACTAACCAAAATTGGGGCGCTGACCCTAAAGTTTCACTAATGAAATGGCTCTCAACAAAGTATATTCGCGAAGCAGTGATAATAACAGATTCAAAATTAGCATTGGAAGCAATTCAAAATATAAAACTTAATAACATTAAATGCCATACACTGTGTAATATTAAAAAAATAGTATATGCAGATGACCTGGTCATTGTGAAAACAGGGCAAACTCTGCGAAAGAATGCAAGTAGCTCAAAAAATTATAAAACAGTGGTGCAAGGACCATTCACTGTCTATCAATTCTAAGAAGACATAAATGGTCCTTTTCAAACGAAAAATGATAAATACTGTAAATAAAAAAATAAATCCTAATGCCCATAATGTAACTGGGCTATAATTAATAACTGTTCCATGGAAGGTTGCTAATCAACTAAAAATTTTAATTCCTGTGGGAACTGCAATAATTATTGTTGCTGAAGTAAAGTATGCTCGAGTATCAACATCTATACCAACAGTAAATATATGGTGTGCTCATATAATAAATCATAGTAATCCAATTGCTATTATTGCGTAAATTATTCCTAAAGTTCCGAAAGCTTCCTTTTTTCTGCTTTCTTGGCTTACGATATGAGAAATTATTCCAAATCCTGGAAGTCATAGAGGTTTTTCCCTATGACCCAAGACTAGTTTACTAGTCGTTATTTGTATGCATCACTAAGGAAGTTTTGTAAAGTTGGAGCACGTTTTGGGGCTTGAATTTTATGCTTAGTACCCACTGTTGGATCCCTATGATATCAGGACTAGTCTACAAGTCTTCTGTGCAGTTATGCTATTCATTAAAAGATGTCGCCCGGATCAGTGCCGAAATACAGTATAAGAACGTAAATGAACTAATTTACGGTCATGTTATTTAGTGTGTGACAGTCTTGTTCTAGGAAGCTGTTCGTGGGTATTGTGTGGCAGTTTTAATAATATTTACATAAGATGGATGATACAAATTTACCAGGGTAAGTCGCAGATTTACGTTATAAATAAAAACGTGTAATAAAGTATTATTTTTTGCAGATGTAGTAAAACTTCCAAAATAATTGCAAGGTCAAATCGTAAAAGGCAACTCACTGAAAAAGAATTGCAGTATTTTGCTGATCATCTAAATGAAGAAAAAAGCGATGTTGAAGATGAAGATCCTTTTTCAAGCGACGACTCTCTAAAGGATAAGGACTTCAAAC